GATCAATGATGCACATGGAATTACAGTTTCTAGAAACTCACGAAAATTCCAGAGTATTTCAAGTCTCAACATGGCTGAACTCCCAGGAACGTGGCAAATCCTCCCGAGAGCTGAGAATATTCACTGAAAGTCTAGATTTACTCCCACAAATGATTTTTCAAGTATAATGTTCAACACATACATATACACAAAAATAAGACTCACATCACAAAACTAAATTCTATTAATCAAAGATTTAGAAAAATAATAGGTAATAAACAGAATATAGTAACTAAAATAAAAACCTCAAGGTGAAGTTTCTGGGTTGGTGAGTATGTCAAGGCATTATGAAGGTGGAGGGTCTTGAGATGTCATGGAGGCATGATGGCATATTTTCCATCTGTCTTATTTAGAGTTTCCATTGCTGCAATGAAACACTATGACCAAAAAATCAAGTTGGGGAGGAAAGAGGTTTTCTGGCTTACACTTCCATATTGCTGTTAATCACTGAAGGATGTCAGGACAGGAACTCAAATGGGGCAGGAACCTGGAGGCAGAAGCTGATGCAGAGGCCATGGAAGGGCACTGCTTATTGGCTTGCTCCCCATGGCTTGCTCAGCCTGCTTTCTTACAGAACCTAGGACCACCAGCCCAGAGATGGCACCACCCACAATAGGCTAGGCCCTCCCCCATCAATCACTAATTAAGAAAATGGCCTACAGTTGAATCTTACGGATAAATTTTCTCAGTTGTGGTTCCCTCCTTTCAGATGACTCTACTTTGTGTGTCAAGATGACATTAGACCTGCCAGAACACCATCTAAGTAAAGATTAACCTCAACTTTTTGCAAATTATTTCAAAAATCAAAAGACAAGGGCACATTGTAAGTCATTTTATGAGAACAATATTGCTTTGAACAAGAAAGTATTTTTAAAAATCTCATGAATATAGTCACATAACTTAACCGTATAAGCAAACCAAAACAAACAAAAATACCATGACAAAGGAAAGTAAGACATGACTTCTAAAACTTCATCTTCAATCATCTGAACATGGGATTTTCTCCAGTGTTTAGTAGTTTTCAGAATACATGTTTTGTGCTTATTTTGTTAAATGTATTACTAAACATTTCATTCTTTTTGATGCTACTGAAAATATTTTTAACTATTTCCACATACTTCAAGTGTATAGACTTAATTTTATAGGTTGATCTTATATCTTGAAACCACATAGAATCCATTTATTGATTCTAATTAAATTTTCATATATTCAGATCATTTCATAGATGAATAGAATGGCTTTATGGTTTTATTTCTTCTTTTCCAACATGAATGCTTTTGACATTTTTTTTTTTTTTGCTTTGTTTGCCCTAGTTAGACCCTAGTATAGTATTGAATGGAAGCGGCAACACCAGATCTTTTCTTCTTGTTCCTCACCATGCAGGGTACAGTCTTGCATTATTAAGTACAGTGTTTTTTAACTGTAGAGTTCTTGTGGATGCCCAATATCAGGATGGCAAAGTTGCCCTCTGTTCCTACTGCACTGCATGTTTTTGTCATGAAAGAGTGCTAGATTCTATCAAATACTTTTCTGTATGTATTGAGATACCAAGTGAAAAAGAAAGAATTGATCATGCTATAAGACAGGCAGATCTTTCTTTTCTTGAAACAGGCTCTCACACTGTAAACCAGGTTGGCCTGGAACTCAGTATGTAACCCAGGCTATCCTTAAACTCACAGCAATCCTCCAAAGTGACAAAATAACAGGCATGAGCTACCATGACTGCTAAAATGGGTAAACATTAGAAAAATTATGCTACTTAAAAGAAACTAATAACAATATCCCGCGAATGACATGATGATTCTATTTAAGGGAAACGTTTAGAACAGGGAAATCACTATAGAGATAGAAAAGAGATTTGTGGTTGCTTAGACCTGAGGTGGAAAGTCTTGAGTGAAGGGCACAGGGTTTATGGGATTGTAGTGGCATTTCAATTGTATTATAATAAATAAAGACTGCCTGAAGATCAGAGAGTAAAACAGCCCCACTGGTCGGCCTTACAGACCAGATTATGGTAACATACACCTTTAATCCCAGTAGCCACACTACTTACCATAGAAACTGGGCAGTGCATGCCTTTAATCCCAGCCCAAGAGAGGATTATAAAATACGAAGAAACAGCTCTCAGACTTACAGTCTCATTCTAGATTCTGGGAGGCAGAATCACCATTTCAGACTGAGATTGAGGTAAAAGCTAATGACTAGCTGTTTTGCTTTTCTGATCTTCAGGTTGAACCCCAATTTCTGATCCTGAATGTTTATAAATCGTGCTTCATAGGATGGTAAAAATGTCCTCAAATTCTTGTGTGTGTATGTGTGAATAAATTTTTAAAATCATTTAATTATATACTCTAAGTGAATATATATTACATTATATTATATATGAATCATATCTATGTACAGATACTGAAAGTGGAATGAAGCGTTCACACGCAGGCACCAACTCTACACTTCCACAAACACGAGAGCAGACGCCTCCTTACAATTTGTATCCTGGGTTTATCACTTTGCTTCACCATAGCCCTACTGTGTCTTCAGCCACTCCCCCTCCCACAAAGATCCCCTGTTCCCCTTTTATTTGTTTTTGTTATGTCTCCTCGCATCTGACGAGGCCTAAAGGAGAATATTGATTAGATGATTATTCCTTACACACACACACACACACACACACACACACACACACATTCTTTTCTTCATTTTTTTTTCTGAGACTGGATTTGTCTTTGTAGCCCTGGCTGTTCTGGAACTTGCTGTGAAGACCAAGCTGACCTCGAACTCACAGAGATCCACCTGACTCTGCCTCACAAGTGCTGGGATTAAAGGCATATGCCATCACCACCTGGTAACACACACACTTCCTTAATGCAAACATAACTAGAGTTTATGACAAGTATCTCTATAAGCAACAAGAAGAGAATACACTCTTTTTGTAATGGTCATAAAACAAAACGACAATTTCTTCAACATTTAATGTCTCCGTTGGCAGGCAAGATGGCTCAGCAAGTGAGGATACTTGCCACCTCGCCTGATGCTCCAAGTTCCATCCCAAGGACTCGCATGGTGGAAGGAGAGAATTCAGTCTCACAGTTGTGTGCTGACTTTTACACATATGCTGCCCACCCCCCACACATGCTATGCACATACACACAATAATAAGCAAATCATTTAAATCTTAAAAAGATGTAAGGTCTTGTTCCTGATTTGTATTTACTGCGACCACCTGTTGAAGTTTTAGAGGGGATGGTTTGTGATAGCTCCTCTTGGTTGTCAACTTGACTGCATTTGGAGTCCAATAGAACATAGGCTATTGGGCACTCCTGTGAGAAACTTCCTTGATTGGATTATCTAAAGCAGGAAAACCCAGCCTAAATGTGGCCAGCCTGGATAAAGGAACATGGTAGAATGAAACTCTTTTTCTTTCTTGTTTGCCCTCATTCTCACTGATAAGTTCATCTGTCCTGTAGCCAGTTTGCTCCTTCACCAATGTATCACAGCCTATGTCGTTGGGCTTCCTTGTAAACTGAAGATGAGCCATTCTCCAAGAACCCTACTACTTACAATATTTAAATATGAATAACCAGACTTCCTCAAATCAAATATGCGCTAGTAGAACTTCGATGAATAATGAAGATTTGCATTTCTTAATAATCTCCCAGAGAATGCCAACACATATGTCCTAATGTGTACCTTAATTATGACCATCTTGGTCACTTCAATAGACATTTTTATGGTGCTATCAAGTCCTTACCCAAATTCAGAATCTCTGGGAATTATGTCCACTAGCATAACGTATATTTTAAACAGTCTCCTAGTAGGACTTGAGAATCACTGATCAATGGGGTTGAAATGCCCCCTACTTTTTTCTCAACTTATTTATTTTCTGTTCTTGAAATCTCAATGCAGGTCCCTCCTGCTTGATGCTTCTGTTGACTACTTCAGACAAATTCACTCCCACTCTTCACAGCAAGCATTTACTCTTGATCATGAAATAAACATCTTGCACATATCCTATCTCTCTAGATTTTATTTCTTGGCATTTTGGTTGTGAGCCTAGCTTTAACAGCTGAAACATTGCTCTGACCCCAGTCTTTATTTCAAATAATTATTTACATTCTTGTAGCATCAGCTCCTACAGTAATTCTTGTCTTGATTGTGAGCCTGGCCTTTAACAGCTGAGCCACCTTTTTAGCCCAACTATCATAATTCTTAACATACAGTGGATATTTAATATTTGTTATGGATACCAATTCTGATAATAGCGGACAATTAATTTCTTTCTTGGACACACGGTTATTTCCCAGGTCCTGGAACTAGCTCTAGACCAGGCTGTCCTCCAACTCACGGAGAACCGCCTGCCTCTGCCTCCCGAGTCCTGGGATTAAAGGCGTGCGCCACCACCGCCGGGTGGTTTATGCATTTTATGATGTTTGTTCGTCCTTAAAATAGGGTTAAATTGCTGACCCATCCTTCTGACAACATTCCTATTTTCCAGACATTTTGTTCTTCCCACCTCTACTCTGCTGTTGCATCTGAGCAAAAGCAACTGCCATCTGAGGTGCTGTGACAAGTTGGAACCCTCACTCATTTCTCCCGGAACGCTATTGCTTAGAAAATTCGGTTTGCCTGTGTAAAGTGGAATGGACTATACCTACCACATAGCTCACAGGATGGATGAAATGACAGAAAACAACTCGTCAACTGGCATGCACCAAATACATACAAGTTGCTCCTCACGACATTCCTTTTTTACCTTAAATCAGGGAACTACTGCCCCGCTGCCCAACTAAGAAGCCAAGGGAAGCGTCGGGGGTTCCGAGCTCGGGGGAAAAAGGAAAGACTACAACTCCCGTGAGGCTTCACGCGCGCCACCTCGGTCTCTCTTCCCCCCCCCCCCCCCCCCCCCCCCCCCCCCCCCCCCCCCCAGCAAGACGGAGCCCCCAGGCAAAGAGGGTGGGGCCTGCGCGCGCCGGGGGATCTCCTAGGGAGAGCAGAGGCAGAGGCGGGCTGCTAGAGGCGACAGGGACACCAGGTGGAGACGCACGTGCGAGTGTGGGGCGGGTAACACGGGAGAGACAGCTGGGAATGGCGTTAAAAAAAATAAAGCCAGCTGTGCACCGTTGCCTCGGCGGGCAGTCTACGCCGCTGCGGAGGCTCCGGGCGCGCGCCCCACGCCTCGGGCACTCGGAGCGGCGGGAGCGGGCGGGGGCGGGGCCTAAGGCGCGGGGGCGGGGCCTAAGGCGGCGCGGGCGAAGGCGGCGACCCAGACATCTGGGACTGTTGTTGTTCTCTCGCCTCACGCCCGCCTCAGTCAGTTCGAGCAGAGATCCGGAGCTGCTCTGCCGGGGAGGCGGGTGACAGTCTCCGCCTTCTCTCCCGATTCGCTGGAGCTGCGGCAGGGACTGGCGCTGACCGAACGCCTTGCGGTTGGTCTCCGATGCCCTTCGGCGAGGAGGGGGCGTCTGGACCCTGGTGAGCGCACCCGGAGCCCCCCTGACTCGGTGTCTTCACCCGCCCCTCGGGCCCGCACACCCGTGTGTCTGCCATGGCTGAGAACGCAGAGGGTGACCTGAACTCCAACCTGCTCCACGCTTCCTACCTCACCGGGGACCCCCAGCTGGACACGGCCATCGGGCAGTGGCTGCGGTGGGACAAGGTGGGTACCTGGTCACCCGAGCATCCGCCCCCGTTTCCTGCCCACCCTTTCACAGTCCGCCCTTTCCGGCACCCACCCAGGGCTTTGCAGACTCCGGGGGAGGTGGCTCCGGCCACCGCAGGGCTAGCGGAGTTGGGCGATGCCTCTCACCTATGCAGGGGCTGCCTCCCTCGGGAGGTCTGGGCTGGGCAGGGACGTCTGCAGTAGCTTCCTTTTGCAATAGGGCTTCACTGCAACCTGCTCCCTTATCACCCTCTCCTTCCAGTGTGTGTCAGCTCTCATTCTCAAAAATACTTCATCCGCATCATCCTCATCGTTGTTACTCTGCATCCATTTCCTTTCCCCTTTCTCCCTTGACTTTCTTCTTTGCAGAACCTGAAAGTGGCTCCTGGTACGTCTCTTGGACGTTACTAACCACTATCTGCTTTGGTGTTGGTCTGGTGGTGTGTTGCCACCCTCTGTCGCTGGGAAATCGCTGTTCTGTTTCACTCTATTTTCTGGTATCACCGTTTGCTCTTGAAAATGACAAGGGTTCTCATCTTATTTAATTCCTCTGCTGGTAGTTATTTCCTGAAGTATTCTGTTCAACCAATCGTGGTCATATACATACATAATGGTCTACACCATTACTTCCCAAGACGTTCCAAAGATCATCTGGGAATCTTAAAAGGCAGATTCTGACCATATATTTATAAATTCAGAATTGCCCTGCCATACCATTTTTACTGCCCTCTCCCTCTCCTTGTGCGGGCACATGGGGCAGATTGGTGAAAGCTGGAATTAAAACGCAGCCTTTTCACTTGTAAAAGAAGCCCCTGGAAGCTCTCTCAGAGGACAGGAGGATAATCAGGTGTTTGCTTTATCAAGTTCATGTGATACGGCTGCTAAAATGGAGAAAGCTGCACATTGTAAAACTGGTTAATAATTGGATTAAGGGGTTTGTATGGCAATATGTGAGATTGTGTTATACAAAAGAACTACCTAAATTAGCTTTCTGAAACAGTTTATTTTTTTTTCTCCCAGTCATTTATGCGTTCAAGAAGGAGAAAAATGCTGAATGTCTAGGCCGGTCAGGAAATGCTGGTGGTGAGAAAGATAGAAGAGTTCTTGCCCTCAGCAAGCCTTCAGTTAGTAGATAAGGAAGCCCAACAAACAAGCAATTACAATGAAGTTATTTGGAGTTATATCTTAAATATTCTACTCATTCTTGTAGAGTCTGAGCAAGTGTTTCTTAAACCTGAACAGTGCTAACAGATCACCTGGGAATCCTGAAAGGCAGTTTCTGACTAGACAACTAGGGTGGGGCCTGACAGGCAGCCTTAGTGAGCTTCCAGGGGATTGATCTCAGTGTGGCTGATCTGTGGACCACACTAAAATAGACTCTTTTCTCTTTCAGTATCAGCTTTGACAATGTTTTCCCTAATGAATGTCCTGGTTGAATGAATTAATGCTTATTATCTGAGCTATGCCCAGGTAGTGCTGAGACATAGAAATACTCAAGAACTGTTAAATGCATATAAAAATGATACAATAGTTACAGTAGCAATAAAAGAAGTTGCAGGCATTCAGTTCTTATGGGAGTTCAAAAGTGAGAGTGATCTGTGGGGTGGGGCAGTCAAAGAAGACTTTTTTTTTCTCCATGACAGGATTTCTCTGTGTATCCCTGGCTGTCCTGGAACTAGCTCTTGTAGCACAGACTGACCTTGAACTCACAGAGATACACCTGCCTCTGCCTCCTGTGTGCTTGAATTAAAGGTGTGCACCACCACCTCCTCCTGGCTTCAAAGAAGACTTTATGAGATCATGGAATGCACATGAAAAGAACAGGGAAAGCCTGCAGGAGAAAGATGAAATAAATGTAGACCTCAATGAACTAAAAGGAAGTAAGACAAAGGCTCCCAAATAAAATATAAAGGACAAGTAATAAGTACCTTAACAGAAGAACAGACTTAAATAATTTTAGTAATTATATATTATTGATCTCTCTCTCTTAATGGGGGATAATGCTTTTATCGAGACACAAATGTTTATCTTCTGTAGATTGATACTTCAGTAAGCTAGGCTAAGTCCTAGGCCACTGAAATTTAGAGTACAAAATGAAATCAAGTATTTCATTTTACCTGAACAGTACATGTAGCCTTTCAGTGCAAAGAGTCTGAGCTCAACTCCTGATTAATACAATTAAGGAGTCCTGATAATGCTGCTGATTCTGGAAGGCTGATGAGGCATGTAATAAGTTAGAAATTGGTCTCAGGGTAATTTGCTATTTGCCATAGTCACCAACATTATTAATTTTAGTCTTGGTGGCTTGGTGTACATTGAAAGGTCTCGATAAAAAAGAAAAAAAAGATGTTATTTATGTTGAATTTTTAGTTAACATTCAGATTTGCTAAGATGGAGAAGGAAGACTAAGACTTGAGCCTAAGCCAGAGCTTAGGGTACCAAGAAGTCTTTGGAAAGGTATATGAAGAAGTGCTTTAGTATATCTTTAATGGCCTTCAGCAAGTAAGGGTGTATGTAATGATGTATTCTGACAGTTTACCATAAGTTACATGAGAATCATTTGTTCTCAGGGTCCTGAATACCCAGTTTCTATTTATGAGTAGCAAAATTAGCCATATAATTGTGACCAATAACAATATTCACATAAAAATATGTGTTGAAATTTCATCAAAGTAATTTGGCATGCAAGAGAAAGAATTTATTTTTAAAAAATACTACATGAGAAAGATGATTGCTTTTCTTAAAATAATTTCTAACACATAGCATGCTGCTAATTAAAATCACGACATGTTTGGGAAAAAAAGAAAAAGAAATAGTGCAAGAATCACCAGCATGGTAATTCTTACCTATAATCTCAGCACTTAGGAGGCTGACCCAGGTGGATCAGTTTACGAGTTTGAGGCCAGTCTGGGCTGCATAGTGATATCATGCCAGCCTGAACAGAGTGAGTTGAGACTCTTGGTTTATACTCTTTCTTGTCTAGCTTCAGTAGGGACTTGGATCTGACCTCCTACTAGTATTCAGACTTTTGTTTAGTATGTTAGCTTCCCTAGTCTTAAAATGAGTTCACTAACATCAGGGTCATAGATATTGGTGATTGATTTAAGAACACAATTTTATTAACTTATGGTTTATGTTATAGATGTAATAATCAAATAGATTTGTTTCTAATCCAGGCATTTGGTAGATACACCATAGGGAAACCAAATTCAAAGATTTTTGGCCATCATGAAGCCAAATCACAAGGAGTCAAATATATAACATGTAACCACATCAGCTTGTAACATGTAAATGCATCCATCTCTATATGGGGCTGTGCTTCTACTATAACCCAGTAAGTCCAGGGATCAAGGAGGCCCTCCTATCAGTTGTGCACAGATAACTACCACCAGTCTGCCGTCCTCTGCTCTAGGTAAGGCCACACCTTCCTGTTTCATTCATTTGGTGCTGTCATGCCTTGTCAAATTACAGACCAGCAGTTCTCGCCTCACGTCCAGGTTCCTTAGCCTCACAACTGTCTGTCGATTCTGTTCTGATGTGAATTTAACTCTGTAATTAATCATATATACGATACTAAGCTCTGTTAAAGCCTGGATGGGTAGATGGGGAAGGGGAATGGGGAACCAGGGCAGAGCTGCTCTGCTGATTAAAAAGCAACAGCAAAGGTCATATATGTTGACACCAGAGTGGAGGCAGGAATTTACCATGGCAGCTGAAGAAATAGTAAGTAGAACATTGGTCTGTATTAAGAAAGAGTAGAATATGAAGATAGGTTAGGCTTATAAAGAGCCTGGAAAAGGAAATAAAGGGCCTCAATCTAACCCAGCGATTTTCAGATGTTTAAGAATAGAATATTTTTTTTAACAAATTGGCCAAAACAAAAAGGCTGTGAGTGAATTCCCCATATCTCCTTGATAAGTCGGTCTTGCATTGCTATGGTAAGTACCTGAGCCTGGGTAAAGTTTAAAGAATTGTACGAGATCAGTAGCCACGTTTGTTTGGCCTCTATTAGACCCCTGACAGCACAGCCACTGTAAAAAGGATTACACGGTGAGGCAGAAAGCCAGAGAGCAGGGAGGGGTAAGCCTTGCTTTTAAAATTCTCTCCTCTTAACCTCTTCTCTTCTCTTCTGTAAATTACAGCTTATTCTTGTTAGAACTCATCCACAAACCCCTAAGGAAATGTCTCTAGTGGTGACCCTGTTACCTCCCACTAGGACCCAACTCTTAAAAGGTTCTACTACCTCAGTACCTCCACACTGAGGAGCAAGCCTTTGATATGGGAAGCCTTGGGGTACAGGCCACATTTAGACTGTATCACATTCCAAATTTTATAGTTATATTAATAGTTCTATAGTTATTCTTTTGAAAAATTAAATAGTTTAATCTGTGTAAATAAAATCCACAGAACAGTAACTTTCAGACATAGAAATCCCAACTGACTCTTCTAGTTAAGAAGATATTGGCAGAAAACATACTGTGCATATGAAACAGAGAAAGCTCATGCCAACTTCCCAGGAAAATCTGTGGCCTTTAATAACTAAGTATTAATCTATATGAAGAAAATAGTTCATATGAACAACAAGATAAAGCAGTAGGTACATGTATAAAAAGAGATACAGTGGAGAACATAGGAACCTCAAAATTATAAACTAAAAATAGAGAATTATTTCATCAGCAAATAAGAAAAGATAGTGTGAAAAATCAACTGAAAACAAGAATGAGCTCTAGGAAATGAAAGGAAAAAAGGGATCCCCCTCTACCAAACACACACATTAAAGTTGAAGAAATAAGAGAAATGTTTGACATGGAACAAGAAATCCTGGCTGCTAAGTTAGCGGAGATCCGCAGCGTTCATCAAGAAGTAATAGAATGTATTGTTTGTGTCTTAGTGGTTTTTGTTTTTTTAAGGTATTGGTGGTGTGGTAAAGATAGCATGTCATTTCTATCAACATCAGAAAAGCAATTAAGCAGTCACCTATGAAGAAAGGAAGGAAG